TTTGATTATTTTTAATTTTGAGTTTAAAAAGGAGGGGCAATTGCCCCCCTTGCCCCCCCCTGGCTACGCCCCTGAGCAGGGGAAGAAGAACTTGTAGCCATTGTTGTTGCAGTGTATTCTACACCCACCATATATCAATATTATATCAATTTAATATCTATGCACCCACGCACAAACATGAGCCCCACCCAAAGTAAATAAAATTACTGACACGCCTAGACAATGAATATTAATTTTAATAAAAATGGTGGCTATGCTGAAGGTAAAAATTATTCTCTTCTTTATAATATTATTTTTAGTCTTTTAGAAAAATCCATTGAATCTTCTTTCCATTAATAAGTTATTCAAAGACTTCAAGCTAGCCAATGACAGCAGCCACAAACACTGTACAGCAGCTACACCTGTAATTGCTGTAAAAGTTCAAGTCAGTGTTAACAGGCCCGTAGCCAGGGTGATTGGGGTGACATGTCACCCCCTTTTGAGTTAGTACCTTTGTTTGTTTGCTTAAATCAAACATGTATTTGTGGCATTTCATGTGCATCCAGTCCAACTTGTCACCCCCCATTTCATGTAACTCATACTTTGTCACCCCCATTTCATGTAACTAATATTTTGTCACCCCCCTTTTTGTAACCCTGGCTACGGGCCTGGTTAATTGCACGATTTGCATCAAGAGTAGATTATTAGTTAATTTTATTATATATTACAGTTTTGATTTGGTAAAGATCAGTTGGGTACAATATACAATGACGGGTTCTGTGATTTCAAAAAGTATTCATTACACAATCACTTAACGCTCAAGAGTAAGAAATATTGCATAATTTTTATTATTAATGATTCCAGGTCTGTTGGTAAGGTTTTGTGGTTTCTATGAGACCCATCGTGGTACGTAGATCTACTCAGTTAACAAAAGTGACAGGAGGTTTCTGTTCCGTGAATTTGAGTCTATTTTCTACCTTTTACTGATCACCACTTATTATTGTAATAATTATTATTAGATGGTCACAGTAAGAGTACAAATGGTTCATTATTGCCTGGCCAAGGATTGGATTGTACTGTACTGTACCTAGACTAGTGGTAAGATATAATCATTATTATTATTCCTAGGCTAGTATTTAAATGGACACATTTCAATAGACTAAGTG